AATTACATTTCTCTTTACAGTCTCAAATATCCAAGTAGTGTCAAATTTCCCTCACTTTTAATTTTTAAACACTTAATTTGATTAAGTTCCAAAGTCCACTTCCTTGAGTCTCTTTTCATACCTAGGTTCCACTCTCCTCCTTTAACAAAATTAGAACACTCACGAGACCAACACTAAATGCAAATGTCTCATTATAACCCCAAAGCATTCAAGCTTCCAATTCAACATTAAAATTAAAAGTTAATAAAAGCCTACTTGTAAAATTCTGAGTTGGGTAGAATGAGAGTATATAAGGGGTATAAAAAAAAAACCCAGAATTATTTTTTGGAGGGCATAGTGCAGGCTTCCCCCAGCTAGCTAAGTGTTCTAGGAACCCACAGACATCAGTGTACCAACTAGCACTGTTGTGAGAAGTTGTGTTCAGCCTCAGTGAATTTTTTTTTTTTTTTGAGATTCTTTCAACGGGTTTGTCCATTTCACGATGGGTGATTTACAAGCGCACCTGCCCATACCACACTGAGCATTTCACCAGTTTTTGATCAAAACCGGCATGATCCCTGTGCCTCAGTTTCCCTATTCACCTGATCTCACCTCAGACTATTTTTTTCTTTTTGCTTCCCTGATGAAAAAACCTCTTAAAGAGAAATGTTTTCCCCATGTGGAAGAGGTAAAACAAAAAACAGCAGAAGCATTTAAAAGGTATCAAAATCGATGAGTTCAAAAACTGTTATGTGCAGTGGAAAAAGTATCTTGGTAAGTGTACTGCATCAAATGGGGAGTATATTGAAGGTGACTGAAGTTTAAACACATAACAATATACAATTTCTTATAAATAAATTCCGAAGTTTTTTGGGTCCCCCTCATATGTTAATGCAGAAAATGTTTAGCAAATTTAAATTATTCTTTAAATTCAAAGCACTGGTAATATGTAACATGTGATATATCACAGGATATGCTACAGTACAGTCAGAAAGTTCATTCCACCAATAGGTACTATCCAGTAAACAACACCCTCACAGGGGTGGGTACTTCCATCCTTTTAGTACTCTTTAGAGATGCAAAATTATACAAAGCTTCCCAAAGTTGATCCTAGTTCATTTATTTTATTCATTATAGTTGATCCTAGTTCATTTATTTTCTTACAAGAAAAGACACTGAAATCAGAAAACTAGAATTTCTATTCTCTGTTCAACCAAAAGTTGACCCGTCAGAGAAACTAATAAATATTTTAGATTTTTGTTTAGGCAAAGACCAATTTCTCATGAAAATCTTATCTTCCATCTTTGATACTCAGACCTGCTTGCATAAGCTTCACATTCTAAGGATCAGAAACCAAGTGAAAAATACGCTGTGATTTAATTTTTATAGCTTGTTTTTGCATTTTCACCCCTCCCAATATCCCAAAATTCCTTGCTACAAGAAAAACTACTGAGGTTCAGCCAACTCTAATTGCTTAGTTAGTAGTGGCATTTATGCATGAGTAAAATGTCACAGAAACAAATGTTAATACAAAAAGTGAAGTGGAGCATTGAGCTCAAATGTTCATTTATTGGTATTTCCACACAATGAACACCTAATGAGTGCCAGTATCATGCTAAGTACTAGGGATACAATCATATAAAAAATAAAACAAAGATATGGTCTCTGTCCTTTGGGAGTTAATATCACTGTCCAGCAGAGAACAGACTTACATCAAAAGGATCAGGCAAAAATATGTAAACTTGTACCTGTGATAAAGGGCTAGAAAAGAAAGACACAGGATGCTGTGAGCACTCTAGCCTAGTATAGAACACAAGCAAAGGAGGCTTCCCTGGAAAAGGCATCCCAAGTACCACAGCTGCCTGTGCAATGCCCTTTGATTAAAGTGAGCAAAGCACATGCAGAACAATAAAAGGCCAATATGTACAAGCAAAGACAATGGGCAGAGACAGGGTGAAAAGGGAAGCTGGTAGGAGCTGGACCACATAGGTCCAGTGGGTCATATTAAGTACAATGGATCATCATATGCACTGGGTCCACACCAGTGCATTCCACCTTGGATTGAAAATATTCAGAAAAGGAAAAAACCCATTAAAAACAATACAAATGAGAAACACAGTATAACAACTATTTATAAAGCACTTGCATAGTATTACATATTACAAGCACGCTAGCGCTGACTCAAAGCAGGCATGTCCAACCTGCTGCCTGCGGGCCACATGGGGTCCAGGACAGCAAGTAATGTGGCCCCACAAAACCTTTTAACATCATGTATTTCTTAGCATTTATTTTCCTCGTGATCCCATGCCTGTTTCCATTTTTGAAGTTCACCATCACACCTTATTTGTGACATCACTTTTTGGCGACCCATACATGTGTGAACAGCTGTTTTCAATGATGAAGTACATGAAGAGCAAAATTTGAACAAAGATTTCTGACAAGTACCTTGAGAACTCACTAAGAATTGCAACCACTTCCATCAAACCAGACATTGATAGATAAGTTTTATAAAAACAAGGTCAAATTTCCCACTAGTTTCATATTGTTCTCATTGTTCTAAACTTATTATGTACATACACTAACTATATGATTTATGTGTAGGCCAAGACAATTCTTTTTTACTCGATGCAGCCCAGAGAGGTCAAAAGTTTGGACACCCTGATTTAAAGTATGCAGGCAGACATACTTAGGTTATATTCAAACAACACTCTACTTTATTTAAGGGACTAGAGCAACTACAGATTTTGGTATAGGAGGGTCCTGGAACCAATCTCCCAGAGATACCAAGGTACAACTGTATTTTAGCTTCTATCCCGTGGGCAAAGGGAAGCCACTAAGGTGTTCTAGGCAGTTCTCCAGAAGGGAAACATCATTTATGTGTACTTTGAAAAAATTACATTTGCTGTGGTGTGCAGAAAACACACAGAAGGCCAGGATGAATACAGCAAAAAAAAGCCCTGATGAGAAATGAAAAGTAGCATAGAGAGGCTGCTGAGGAGGAATAAAGAGCAGCAGGTGAAAAGTGCTCATAACAAGGTGTATCAAACACTATTAGAAGACCGCTGTGCTATGCCCTTTACATGGATTTTCCTTCATGCTCAAAACAATCCCGCGAGATGGGTACTATCATCATCCCCATTTTGCAAGAAACGAAGGCTTAGCGAGGTTAAGATCTTTTCCCATAGCTACCTAGCGAATGGAGCCAGGATTCAACCAGGCACGCGCTCTCCTAACCACTCAAAGGAGACAGATTAGAAGATGCGGGGGAGGAGTGGGTAAGGGGGAAAAGAGTTACCAGTGACTCCTAAGCTTCCGGCTTATATAACAGACTGGACGGTACAAACTTCCACCGGAATGATCACGTTTGAATAGATAAAGCACGAGTTCTGCATGGACAGGCCGAGCTGGCTTTGAGGCACCCAGGTGGGGAAAAGCTTCACAGGAATGCTAACTAAGACAATACGCAGGTCTGAACTGATCTCGGCAGAAGGTGGGCGCTGCACACTCACGGGTCACCTAACAGAGTCAGGCATCGAAGCCAGGCGCGTGAAGAGAGAAGGGCCAGGAGGGCAGAGCCGGGACTCTGAGGCGTACTGTCCGGGAGAAGAATAGTACGCGAGGGAAACAGATGGACCAGCAGAAGGAAAACCAGAGGTTCTCGATCCCAGAAGCCGGGGGGAAGAATAAGGAAAGAGAATCCCTCGAAAGAGAGAGAGTGCAACACTCGGGAAGGTGGCTGCAAGGTCAGAAAGACGCACACGGAGGAGACCACTGGATTCAGGACCAGGACTACTCGACGGAAGTGGGTCGAGGACTGGGTGGGAGGCCGGAGAAGGCAGTGCGGTGTTGCCGTTTCTCATCTGAGCGTATCTTAAAACCCGAAGGGATGGACCCAGAAGACCTTCGATGGCAACTGGTTTAAACACCCTCGGCAGTTGCTTGCGGTCCACCCCCCAAAAGACCGGAAGCCACAGTCCCCAACGCCAGACAAAACTGAAGCTTCTGACAACGACGTAAGGCCCAGAGCCAAACCCCTGGGTCAGAAGGTTTCCAAACACCACAAGCCACAACGCGAGGAAAGCGAGGGGAGAAATCCTCTACGTGAGGTAGACGGAAGGAGGACACAGAAACAGGCGGAGGCGAGGCCGAGGAAACCGGATGAGAGCCCGCGTCCGCCCGAGCGCGTCTCCAGGGGGCGGCGCTGGGCCCTCGGGCCTGTCCCCGGAGAGGGGCGCCCCCGCCCCGCTATCCGCATCTCCGGAGCCCCCTCAGCCCCCCGCGGCCGCAGCCGCAGCCAGCACCCGGGCCCAGGGCGGGTCGGGCCGCGCCGGCTGGAGGACGCGGCCCTGCGGCGCGGGGCCGGGGAGGCCGGCGGCTACGGAGGCCGGGTCCCGCCGCGGCCCACCCCGCGCCGACAGCCCCTAGGGCCCGCTCACCATCTTCCTCCAGCCGTCAGCCGCAGTCGCCTTCCTTCGGCCCCTCTCAGCCTGGCTCGGCGGCCGCCTCGCTGCCCGCCTCGGCCCCGCCAGAGTCGCCCCGCCTTCCCACGCGGCCTCCTTGCGCCGGCACGTGACGGAGGGCGGCGGACGGCGGGCGGCGCGGCTCAAAACTGTGGGGACGCGACCGTCCGCGTCCCGTCTGCACCCCTTGGGGGAGGATGCCCCGCCGGCCGCAAGCGAGGACCGGTCCCTAGGTGCGTCCTGAAGCTCACGCCTTCCCGGCACCTCTTCGCTGTCTTCGGGCTCTGAGAGCAAGTTCACGGTGATGAGATGAAGCCGCTGGTTTCAGCGGTGAGTGCGTGCTGATGGCAGCCAGCCTTCCAAGTTCGACCTCCCCCCGCCCAGGAGCCCCGCCTCTGACCCTGGCTGTCTCCCCTGACTTGGCGACTGCTTGTCTTCTCTCCTAAATATCGCTTTGTTGAGTGTGATTGGACGGTGATTGGTGTTCAGAAGGGCGCTCCCGCTGACCTCTGCCCAACTGAGCACCGGGAAGTCTCTAGGAGTTGCGGATTTCGCGGAACAAGGCCGCTTTTGAACGCAGTAAGGAAAGTGGTTTGGAAGAAGGCAAGTTCGTGTAGGTGCCTTCAATATAAGAAGCCGCCTGAAGCGGGGCCTCATCTCACCGCTTATCTATGCTAGCATGGTTCCCGGTCCATTATAGGTATTCTATTCATATTTGTTGAGTGAGTGAAAATCAGTACTGTAGAAAAATGAATATTTGCTGTACGCATTTCCACAACTCAGCTACATTCTTGTAAATGATCTGTCCGAATGTAGACCATAAATAAAATGTCTACATTCTAAAACCTAAAAAGCTGCATCACAGATCATGACTGAAAAGGAGGTCAGACACACCTCGTTGTACCCCTCCCTTGTGGACTGTAAGGCACAACTGACTAGCATTAGCATTACAATCAAGATTATAAGACTGACAAGATAGACTCCATGCCAATAAGATAGCAAATTCCAGTCTGACTTTGGATAGTATTACATGACAGCTAGCGGATCCTAAATCCTAAAGGAAATAAAAATGTTTTACCCGAAAATATATTTCTTCGACATGTTTTGAAGTGACCCTGCAAAGCCATCTCTTGGGGGAATTTGCATCCATAGAGAACACCTTTTATGACATCTAACTCCTATTGTCTCTGAAACCTGCTATTGAGAGCTTTCATCTGCATATCAAGAACCTTGGCTTTTCTAACTCCACTGATCTTAACCCAAATATTTCTTTTACTGAATTCAGATTATTTAGACAGAGTTTAGCTCTCTCTACCAGTTGCCAGTCAGAAAATCTTGGAACCTTCCTTTGCCCTGTAAGCCTCCTGGCTTGGTGATGCTCCACCTTCCCAACCCATGTAGACCCCACATGTATTTCTGTTTTGCCTATAACTTCTGTCTTCCTAAAAAAGTATAAATCCAAGGTATAATTCAACCATCTGGGGCACATGTTCTCAAGATCTCTTGGGACTGTGCCACAGGCCTAGGTCACTCACATTTATCTCAAAATGTACCTCTTTAAATATTTTATAGACTGCCTTTTCGTCAACATCCATAATACTTGTTATTATGAAAAGAGAACTAATTCATTTGACAGATAATACCATATAAGAAATAGCCGGAGAAAAAAGTGATTGCTACTGGTCTATGAGCAATCATACTTGAGTTCAGCATAGCCCCCCCACCTCCATTGTTTCCCACCTCCTCTTCCCATCTACGAGAGGAATTAGAGGAAAAGGTGAAAAATGAACATTAAGTTACATATCACACCTGACAATTAGTAAATCCATTGTTTTCCCCTGAATAAAACCAAAACATTTCACCCCAAGATATGGTTTTGACAAATTTTGAGATGGCTGTTGAGCGGGCCCACAGACAGAAGTTGCCCTACAAAACTGTCCTTTGTGGGGGATGTGGAGGAATACGAGGTAGCAGCAGTTGGATAAATTGAGGAAAGAAATCTCAGGATGAGATTTTACAAATGTTACAAAGAAACTTACTCATAACAGTAAAAACTGTAAAAGCTGGTTAGCCGGCTGTGAAACATTTGCAGTAAATGAAAATGTAGTTAACCAGTTGTTGCTAGTTAGCTATTCCTGTTAACTAACCTTATTTTAAAGAAACAAAACACTACAATCAATCAACCACTTCACAAACCTCTGGAAATTTTCTTTTGTAGACTCCCTGGGAAGACAATTCCTGGCCCACTAAACCCTAACAGCCATCTTATAAAAACACCCCTCTAGCCCCTGCCTCTTTTCAGACAGCATACATTTCTCTCTGCTGTTTGTCCTATTGTGCCCTTCACAATTTATCCTCCCTTTAATAAATCTACCTTTCTTAATACATAACTGTTTTAGTAAATTCTTCTTACCAATCCACGACTCCCACCTCCCTAGCCCACCAACACACACAGTATGGGAGATCTGGCATCTGTAGAGAAAATATTCACGGATGAGGTCAGGCTTTCTCTGAGGTCTTCCCTAATATGATACGGGAATGATAAACTGAGAATCCAACACGTTTGAAGGTCTAAAAGAAACACTCACCATCTGTTCTTTCTGAGGACTAGATTCCTGTGAAGTTTCATCTACCTGACAAGACCACCTTTCTCCGGGCCTCCTCTTCTCCCCTTTCTACCACCTTTAAGTTGGCCAGAGCAAATTCATGAGCCACACATCACACCACACTCGGCATTAACCTGCTTTGCCAAGATCCAAGACCCATTATTTCTGTAACCTCAAGATGGTATATAAATTTGTGAATTTCATTGGGGGATTGGGGTTATCACTCTGCAGTTTTTCCTTATGTATACATTAATACATTTGTATGCCTTTTCTTTTTTATTTTGTTTTGTTTGCTTGTTTTGTCTGTTTTTGAGTTGGAGTTTCACTCTGTCATCCAGGCTGGAATGCAGGGGCATACTTACGGTTACCACAACCTCAACCTGCTGGGCTCAGGCAATCCTTCCACCTCAGCCTTCCAAGTAGCTGGAACCACAGGCGTGTGCCATCATGCCGGGCTAATTTTTTAATTTATTGTAGAGATGAGGTCTCACCGAGTTGCCCAGGCTGGTCATAAACTCCTGGACTCAGGCAATCCTTTCATCTCCGCCTCCCAAAGTGCTGGAATGACAGGTGTGAGCCACCATGCCCAACTTGTATGCCTTTTCTCCAATTGATTTTCCTTTTTTAAGTTGATTTTTCAGCAGCCCTTCAGAGGTCAAAGGGGAAGCTTTCCCCTGGCCCCTACACCGCTTTCTTTCTGTTCTTTTAATGTTTTTTAAATGGTATCAACTATAAAATGGCTGATCTCATATAAACCCAGGAGAAGTTAGGGAGAGTAATATACTGACAAGAAAAGCAAACTGGTGAAAATGTGATTTATTTTATTATGTGGGAGGTGTAAAGTGAACATAGACTATTTGAACTCAGTCTATAGAATACATTTAATTAGTCGGAAAAAATTATATCTATTTAAAATGAGGTTTGAGAATACCATTCTGGCTTGAGTTATTCTACAGGAGGGAGTGAGTTCCAAAATGTTTTCCAGCACTTTTCTGCCATGGAAATAGCACTAGCTGGCCTGTACAACAAACTCTCAGTACTAAGCTGTGTTGAGGTCACTGAAATGTGTTGTATCTCAAGGGGGGATCTGATGTAAGACAAGACCAGAGTAGAAAAGAAAAGGCTATTCTAGTTAAAAACTGGGAGAACAGTCAGAATTAGATTCCTATTTTCTTGCTTGAGTTTTTCTAAGGCCTTCATTCTCTGCATTAGCAGCCCTGTCGAGTGTTTCTATTGTCAACCTAGAATAATCAAAAGTATTAGGATCCAATAAAAAGAGTTTATTCAAGCACAAAGTATGAAGAACACAGGGACACCAAAGAATGGTGATCTGTTTCCAGTGTGGGGAAAAGTGGAGGAGATTGTTTATTTAGGCAAAAAAAACAGAGATGCTGAACAGATATACAATGTTTCCCATACAAAGGCTAACATACATATGTAAAACTTGATGACTACTATTGTTCTTACTCTAAAGGAGTTGCTCAACATTCTGTTGTAAAGATACAACAGTCACAAGGGTATCTATTTTTTTTCTTTTTCTTTTTTTTGAGTTGGAGTCTCACTCTCGCTCAGGTTGGAGTACAGTGGCCCGCTCACGGCCACTGCAGCCTCAACCTGCTGGGCTCAGGCGATCTTTCTACCTTAGCCTTTTAAGTAGCTGGAACTATAGGCCCGCACCACCACACTTCTTCTGATTTATTGTAGAGATGAAGTCTCACCAAGTTGCCCAGGCTGGTCTTGAACCCCTGGATGCAGGCAGTCCTCTTGCCTCTGCCTCCCATTTTGCATTGCTATAATGAAATACCTGAAGCTGGGTGATTTAGGAAGAAAAAGAAGTTTATTTTGGCTTACTGTTCTGCATGGTGCCAGCATCTGCAGGGCTTGTGGGAAGGCCTCAAGAAGTTTACAATCATGGCAGAAGGAGGGGAGAGGGAGCAAATCTAATGGCAAGAACTGAAGTGAGACAGAGAGGAGGTAGTGCCAGACTCTTTCAAGCAATTAGTTCGAAACGATAGAGGGTTCCACCCCCATGATCCAATCACCTCCAACTAGGCCCACTTTCAACACTGGAGATCACATTTCAGCATAAGATTTGTAGAGGACAGCAATCCAAATGATATCATTTATATATTCCCACCTATTCATTAGTTCCACAGATAGTTATGGAGTGTGAGGTCTATCATGTTTTGGACTTTGGCACTCTCTGGGTGCCAAGGTTCAAAACAGATGAAAATCCCTGGTCTCCGGGGGCTAACATTCTAATGCCAATGAGAAGGTGATAGAAAATCATAGTAAATGAGTCACCAGGATTGTTTGTTAGAAGGTGATTCCTGCTAGCAGAGAAAATTTAGGAAGAGGAAGGGTGGGAGTGCAAAGGAGGAGCGATTCACAATTTGAATAGGATGGTTGTGGTCCTCAGCTGGAAGGTCATGCCTGAACAGAGATTTGAAGCTATGGGGATTAGGTAACTGTATCTCTAGAGGAATGTCCCACGCAGAGGG